CCAGATGATAGGAAGAACACCTATCCGATATGTGACTCTCTTCTTTAGAGATCGGCGCGGCTTCGCTCCTTTACGGAAATCGCGCAGATCCAAATCACCGTTCTTCCGTATAAACAGAAGCCCTATCCGGTACTAGGGGTTTTCGTGCCGACTCAAAAGTTATCTTTTATAGTGTGAAAACAGCTTAGATAGCCCTATATTCCCCGGAAGAATCCGCTCTATCAAGTGGTAAAAATTATAGGGTGTCAGAGCCAATGCCGCTCTCAACTGGATAGACAACTACAGCTCTACTGTATCGGAACAACTGCGGCCTGGAGCTTTATTTGATTACCCCGTAAATGAGCCTTATCAGGCACAAACTTACCAATGCACATACAAATAGATAATATTTTTGCTTGAAGTATATATTGCATTCAGTGAGCTCAGGATAGGTTCATGGTGAGCTAGAATAATACCATTAAAACAGCTCATTTTATAAAGCACTGGCTGGCATTTTGTTACCTAACATAGAACGTACATGGAGGCGAAAAAAAACTTGAATGACAATGACTGCAAAGATAATATTATTTATTATAGGTAAATAATGAAATATCTTCCCCAAAATACACCCAGGAGAATAAATATTATATTTCAGTAGACTTGACTGCTATACTTAGTAGCGAGTCTCTTCATATCATCGCCGCAATAACGGACTGACTAAGTCCAAAATCATGGTTTTGTTTCTGTACCGATAGTTCTGTGAGCGTAAAAAAATAAATAACAAATTAAAAGGACGGACCGGAAGATCTGTTAGCTGTTACATAGCGTACGGCTCTGTGCGAATAGATCAAAAGCTGATTTTACAATTTAATTGCACATGGAGGGATTCACCGTCATTTAACCGCCTTCCGAAGTGCAGTTCAAGTCGACCCTATATAAATTTTGCTCGACTTAGAGTCAGGAAGCGTATTTTCTCATGAAAGTTGCAAACTAAAATTTGAAGCGATTAAAGTGTTAGATTTGATTTGCATCGCAGGTACTCATGCATACCTTGCCATAGTACATTAACACAGTGGAATTAAACTAAACCAAACTGCATAGAAGTTGGGTCGTAAATGCATGACCGTTTATTGCCACAAAACCCAAGACTTCTTTCTCTCTTTGGAGCCGTACATGTTGATCATGGCAACCTAATTAACAAAATGGTCCCTATAGTTGTTCGCAATGCAAGTATCACTGGCGGCCGGTTCGCCTGGCCTTTGTTTCGCCTGGTTCGTTGATTTGCACCTGAAAACTTTCATATTCTTTCCGCTGTAGAAGTTTCGGGGTCTTAGTCTAGACAACTGCATGCCCAGCAAAACAGCGCTTAAAACGCAGTCAGTCTTAATTTACAGTTAATTCCAGGAATTAAAAGGAAATAAGTTTGGCGATGGTAAACACTCACTTGCTATAAACAAATAACATCTGTACACATACATTGAACTTGATCGCATGACCCTCCCCTAGTTACATTAGCACTGAAAAATACAACTAACACCAAACACAGAAGTTTTTTCGTAAACACTGTCCGTTTCCAAGTTATTAATTACCCAACAACCTTGAGTGTTTTCTCCCTCGAGAGTCGTTGATCATGGAAACCTTGCAAACAAATGGTGCCGATCTGTTGTTCTAATTACTAAGGGTAATCGTCTATTGGTGGCCAGCACATTGTGGGCCACCTCGCCTTTGTTTAGCCAGATTCCTTGATTTGCACATGAAAAAAATTTATATTCTTTCCGCCACAGAAATTTCGGATCTTAATTGAGACGACGCTGTCCTAGTAACAAGGAGTTTCGTTGAAGGTTTTCTCGAATTCAAGAACGCGGGAAGAGAGCGAGTCAAGCTTCCAGTAATGACGCGCTCTTCAGTGGAAGTACTTATAGGTCAGTGGAGTGTTCTTGCGCGAATTATCCATCCTTCAGTCTATTGAATGCTACCGCATTTAACAAGAACAGTTCTTTTTATTTTTTCTAGTGCTGGCCTTGGTAACAAGTTTGCTTGCGTATGTGAATGGAAACCTGTGTAATTCAACCCGAGTAAGTAATTTAATCTTTGCTACGTTCCAAAATAGTTCTACTGACAGAACTCTTAGGAACGCTGGACTTAATCAACTTAGCCAAGAAGTAAATCGGAAATTTCCTCGCGCCTGACCACACAATTATGCATTTCAAACTTCGTTTAGAAATGTTTGTCTGTAACTAGGTCACTAATTTTACCGAAGTGTTTTTGGATCATTTATGCTTAATATTTGTAGTTTAAGAGGGGCTTGATCGATCGTATAAAGATGAAGCTGGTATAAGCGGTATTGAATATTATTCGCGTTTCGCAGGACTAGCTAGCCTGAGATTTCGCAACTCGGTGAAGGCGCTTACCAGATGTGGTAACTTCACTTCAGTTTTGTCCTTCAAAACATCATAAAACTATACATCTGTCAAAACGACACTGTGTTTCGATATCGTTTCCGTGGATTGTCTGGTAATAAACTTCCCTCTCATCAAACTTTTTTTGCCAGGCATATCATCACTTGCTGCCTAGACTATGTGCGTTGACACAAAGCGCTGCGGTTTGAAAAAGAGCCACAGCAAGGAAACTGATTGTAGTAACTGAAAATACTCTAAGCGATTAAAGGGATACGAAGGTTGATTGATGGCGAATAAAGTGGGAAAGTAGAAAAGTACAAATTGGATCGATGAATTGGGTCGTTTTTTTGGCTGCTGGGGTAAACTTCCTATGATTCTTATTGAATTGCAAACTTGGTGTCTTTAATTAAGTCACGTATGCAGGTTCTCCAACGTAACCTTCATATAGTGACAAATGAAATGAAAGCTAACCATTTTAATTCAGTGCTTAATATATCATTATTGTCAACTCTTAACCCCCCCCCCCCCGGCTAATCACTACCGAGTCAGTGCTTAACCCTGATCACGATCAAAATCGGGGGTTTACAGTCATCATCTGGCCACCAAACCATCTCGACACCTGTGAACTTTACTGGTCACCAGAGGCAAAACAGTGAATAAAAGTAACCCAGTTCAGGTTCACCTAGGTCAAACGATAGAACAAGAGCCAAACAAAGTACGGAACGAAGATAAGTTTGCTACTTTGACTGTTCAAAGTGTAATAAATCCTCAATATGCTGTTTATTTATTTACCTGATTTCTTCAAGGTGCACTAAGTTCTAAGTTTTTGAAAACGGAGACTGATGATATTGGCAGCGCTTTTTGGTCAACTTACATAGCTACGAAGATAGCCTGTTCACAGACCCTCTTTTTTCTCTTCAAAGTCCACCGAGCGCGCATGATAAAAAATAAAAATGTTTTGGAAAAGAACGAAAAAAATAGAACAACGTCTATATTTCTAATATTTCGGTTTGGTTTCAACAACCAGAAAAGCTTCACGAAAGCACGAAAGCAACACGAAAGCTTACACGAAAGCTTCACGAAAGCACGTCTTGGGATCCTCGTCCCAGTCCCTTTCCTTTTTCGTGTCGACCCTCAAAAGCCACCAAAGATGGCGGCTGTTTTGGCGTTACAGGAATCGACCCGACAAGTACCCATCTGATCTCACTTAAACCCGTCCTCAAACCCAACAGTGAATGAAAGCTGACCATTTTGAGTCTATGTTTAACCCTAACCACTATTTTCAGTGCGCTACCTTAATCACTATAGTATAGGACTTCAGAAATCGGATCGATTCCTTTTTCAGCCGCAAGAATAGCGTTAGCAAGTCAGAGAGAAGTGAAGTAGCCTGATTCTCAGACGTCCGGGCAAGCGAAGGGACCACGAACGACCTCGGACGTCTGAGAATCAGGCTAGAAGTGAAGAAGCTTGGAGTTTTTGGCGAACGTTTCCTTTCTTTGCCTAAAAATTTTATTGAGACCAAAAAACTGTTCATATTACGACGTGTATTATATTTTGCTGTACCTTGCCTAACCTAACTGGTAGCTTCTTCTTTAATAGTTGGAGGATAAATGCTGTCATGTGAATGAGTTCTGCAACAAAGTGGAATTGTTTGGGAAAATTTGCAGTGGGCTAGATTTAATCTGCCCAGAACTGGTAAACAAGCCACCCAGTTCCAGCAGCAGTTCGAGTTCGTCCAGTTCTAGCAGCAGCAGCAGTAGTAGCAGCAGCAGTAGCAGTAGCAGCATACCCATAACAAGTACAATATATCTCACTTTGACAAGCAGTGGTGTGACTATTACTTCCTCCCCAAGTAGCAGTAGCAGCTCCAGCTCCTCTAGCTCTAGCAGCAGTAGCAGTAGCTCCAGTTCATCCAGTTCTAGCAGCAGCAGCTCCAGTTCCAGCAGCAGTAGCCTTAGTACCAGTTCATCCAGTTCTAGCAGCAGCAGTTCCAGCTCTTCCAGTTCTAGCAGCAGCAGCTCCAGCTCTTCCAGTTCTAGCAGCAGCAGCTCCAGCTCTTCCAGTTCTAGCAGCAGCAGCTCCAGCTCATCCAGTTCCAGCAGCAGCAGCAGCTCCAGTTCATCCAGTTCCAGCAGCAGCAGCTCCAGCTCGTCCAGTTCCAGCAGCAGCAGCAGCAGCAGCAGCTCCAGTTCATCCAGTTCCAGCAGCAGCAGCTCCAGCTCGTCCAGTTCCAGCAGCAGCAGCAGCAGCAGCAGCTCCAGTTCATCCAGTTCTAGCAGCAGCAGCTCCAGCTCCTCCAGCTCCAGTAGCAGTAGCAGTAGCTCTAGTTCATCCAGTTCCAGCAGCAGCTCCAGTTCATCCAGTTCTAGTAGCAGTAGCAGTAGCAGTAGCAGTAGTAGCAGCTCTGTTTCAGCAAGTTCGCCCAGTTCCAGTAGCAGTAGCAGCAGTTCTATTTCAAGAAGTTCATCTAGTTCTTCTAGTTCCAGCAGCAGTAGTAGCTCTAGTTCATCAAGTTCCAGCAGTAGCAGCAGCAGCTCCAGCTCATCCAGTTCTAGCAGCAGCAGTAGCAGCTCGAGTCTTTCATTCTCATGGCCAACTATTGTCACCTCCACATTCAGCAGCATGGTTGGCATGGTGTGCCCTTACTCCACTCATCCTCTTATGATCAGTAGTACTATTTCTGCATTGCCATGGTGGTCATCCTATAATGTCAGTGAAACAATGCGGCAGTGGCTTTCGACTACTATACAAGAACATGCAAAATGCAGATTAGGCACCAGGTTTTGTGCCTTGAACCATAAATGCATTTCTTCTGACGAGGCGTGCACCATCCATCTTACCAATGACATGTTAAAGAACATGACCAACACACCCTGGTGTGCAACATGTGAATCTGGAAAATACTTTTGCCCATTATTCATGCAGTGCATTAATGAAAGTTTAAAGTGCTCATATGAGAACTTGTTTGAATGGCAGAAAAATAACAACTTTAGTGTGGGACCGTTTGGGATGGAGTGTGGTGAAAATGAGACTTTCTGTATTCACAACATGAGCTGCATCCCAAACAACACTGAATGTGTTTTGCCAGACATAAAATACACAGCTTCACGAAAGAAGGCTGAAATTGCTTGTGATGCAATAAGTGGCCAAGTCTTCTGTCCCTACACGTCATCCTGCAACAATACAGCTGATTGTAAACCTGCCCCATTTGCAAACTACAGTGAGGCACTGGAAAATGATGCTTTGGGAGGTATGAATACCAGATCGTGTCAGACTGTCCAACCTTCTTAGTATGTAAAATTGGGATATTTTGTAATCACCATCAAATCGTGCCAGCGTTGAAGGTGTGGGCCGCAAGGGACATGCTTCCGCCAGTAAATGTTGAAATCTTGTTGCTCTGAAAATGCCATTTTTGGAGTTCTGAAAGGTCAACTTCTTTCTAAAACGTTCACTAAAATTGTCATTTTTTATGCTTTAAGTGCACTCTGTTAGGTGTTCTTATAAAAAAAAGCATTTGAGCATTTGAGGCTGTGAGAGGACATTTAGAGCAAAATGAGCACCTTAAAAATAAAAAAAAAAAGTAGTCATGTTGATTCTTCTTGTCTTAGAACAAGAAGTCTATAGAGTCTGAGGGAGAACAGTTGATTAGAGGAAAATTTCATGCAATTTCGTTTTTCCATTTTAGGGTGGGCCCATCTATGTCAGATGAGGAACCTGGTTTGTCCTAAGGTATCTCGTGCTGTTGTAAAATGTGCAGAAGCCCGTGACAGATTTGACTGCAAGTATGTTAAATATTACTATAATTTTACTCAGCCGTTCTTTAACCTCTTGTTTGCTCATTTGTTTCAATTTTGATATCTCACTCTTACTTTTTTTGTAATCATCACTCTTACTTAATGGATATAATTTCCTGAAAATTAGGGATCACTCCTTTCTATGCCATCTCCTATGAAACTGATAGTTGTCTTGAGAGGAATCTTAGGCTTGTATGGGGTGTCCTCTTTGACAATCACTTTGCAGCTCAAGATTAAAATGGTCTTTACTTAAAGCACCACTTGCACAGATACACTTTAGCTGGGATCTTTAGAGACTAGAAGACACTTCTCCTCAAAACATATCTGTTCACCTTGGCCATGTACATGCTTTTCTTTGTCTGTACAAGGAGCCACCTCCTTCGTATACCTGCCAAGTGTCATGCCTGCAGATCAAAAAACTTTGATCTCATGCCTACTCGTGGCTGTGCAGGGTGCAAAGAAAATCATTTTTATAGCTTGCCCTTCGGGCAAGCTGAAGCTAGCATTTACTAGCCCAGACATCATTTGAACTAGCCCCAAAAGCTTTTTGACGAGCAGAATTGATTTCACAGTTCTTCCTTTATTCGAATTGCTCAAAAACATCACTTGCCCATCGGGCAAGTTAAAAACAGAATTCGCTAGCCCGATAACAAAATCCAGTTGTGCCGGGCTATTGGACACTACTTTCTTTGCATACTGCTGTGTTTCAATTTCTCATGCCTGGTAGAAAAATTGAGCCATTACAGCATCAACTGACACATTTTGAAAAATGTATTTAGTAATTATTATTTAAAGAAACTGGAACTGAGGAGAGAAAAGAAGAGTCCATGTGTTGTCAATGATCGACTTTCTCTGAATTCTCTTATTTTAGTAGGGAAAGTCACAGGATAAGAGGTCCTGTTACCTCATGTTCCTGTGTTTGTGTTAGACGGAACTCTTCGGGAACGTCTTCAGACATCTTTAGATATTATTAGACCCCTATAGTCAACTCCCTTTACAGCATGCAGACACTGTAGGGTCCTTGATTTAGTGTCCTCATTAGTGAGAGTTTGTAATAGCGGGAGTTTATTTCAGAGTCAAACAACTGCAATTTATTTTTGCCTGGGATTTTGCTGCTGCCTGTATTATCAGGATGTCTGTTATAGGGGGGTGTTTGCAAGGTGAGAGTTGAGTGTAAAGAGATGACTGACTGTATCTTCAATAATTGTGTAAGATTCACACTGTCTACTAAAATTAATGTGAAAAAACTTATTGAATGGTCGTCTCATTTTCAGTTTCTGTCCAGAGAGACATACATTTTGTAACTATACTGGAAGGTGTCTACCACCTGGAGGAGATTGTTGCCCAAGAGGTACACATTTGTTATTTATCATTGTTGTAAATGTCTTCATATACTGTATTTATTTGATTAAGCCAACCTCGAATGAGCGCCCATCCTAAAGGCAGAAAAAGGTACATGTAATAAGCGCCCAGCCTCGAATAAGCACCCAGCCCCCCTCCCACCCCCCCAAAATTGATAAAGTTCTAATGAGAGACTTCCCTGGAGACGGAGTTTTTTCAGAGTATATAGAAACCTTGCTTTGTTACATCTCCACATTTTGTTATTACTATTTATGGTTTTGTTGCAAAATAAACATGTGCCCAACCTCAAATAAGCTCCCAGGGTGGTTAGTCGAATAAATACAGTATACAGGTACCACATATTGCAAGTTTGCATTTTGATGTCATTAAATTTCATCATAAAAGTTTATCAGTCCTTTCACATGTTAGTCTCATCATGTTTAAGAGCAACTGTCGGAACATTTCATATTAGATCAAGAGTAACTTAAGATGGATTGAACAGCTCTGCCTGATTAACACTTCTTTGGTTGAGTACCATCAATGATGACAATAAAAGATACTTTTTCCTTTGCTTCTACAAATTTAAAAATGATTTGAATGTGTTGTTCCCTATTTTTTCGTAGCTAGCTACGAAAAAATCACAGGAAAAAATAACAGATTCCCATTTTTGGATATTTTAGGGTATTTAAAGAATACCCACAAAAATCCCAAATTTGGTAGAGTGAGAGAGGTCCCAAACAGGGAACTTGGTTGGGAATTCCCTGGTTGGGACTTGTCTCACTTTGCCAAATTTGGGATTTTTGTGGGTATTCTTTAAATACCCTAAAATATCCAATATTGGGAAATATCTGTTATAATTGTGAATAAGGAACAACTCAGTTTGGGTCAATACATGTTTTGATTTCATTGTTATTATTTGACAAAAAAACATTATAGTGCCAAATCTGTGATGTTATGTCTTTCTCTGCACTGGCAAGTTTTATTGTAGCACATGCATATCACCAGTGTGTAAAGTTTTTGGTACCGACCCCAGACCTTCTCAATTTTTTAAAAAATTCTATCATCATTTAAGCAAAGGAAGACAAATGAAATGTTCAAAGGAAGTAAATTTACTGAGTTTTAAGCTCAAAACCTTTTTTTTTGGCAAAATCATGATTTGCATACACATTGCAAAAGGTCATGATGTTACAACTGTTTTTATATACCGTTGGGCAAAGTTAATACACCTTGGCCTATCAAAGTGTGTATAATATCTTAATTATTGTATGGAAAATAATATTTGTTTCCATTTAACTCTACAGGAAAAATTATGTGCAACGTCACTGGCATTTGCTTGAGTCCAGAACGTTGCGGAGGTGATGACAAATGTGAAAGTACAGCACAAGGAGTTAAAGTAACTGTGGTGTTCAAAGGTGTTAATTTCAGCCAGATTAATGGCTCAGTAGATAAATTTACGCAGAATGTTCTGCAATCTCTCTGGAATGTGACAAACAGTAGTTGCATACGGGATTTTTCAGCAGAGTCAGGCAGCATCAATGTCACTTTCACTATGACTCCCCAGAAAGGCCAGTCTACTGATGATTTAATGAAGACAATAGCTAAACTGGAAGCAGCTGTCAAGTCTGGTGACTTCCGTGTGACTCTGCCTTCAGGGAAAGTCATCACGGCTGATCCTAACTCATTCAAAGCTACTAGAATTACTCCCACTGTCCCGCCGCCAACAACAGTTGCTACCACCACAGAATCAAGCAGTAATAAGACTACTATCATCATTGTCTGCAGTGTGATTGGTGGCCTTTTGCTTATTGTTATCATCATCCTCGTAGTCTACTGCTGTATGAAGAAGAAAAAACAGCAAAGAGTCTCACCAAATTCATCAAGAGCCAAACTCCAGGAGGAAGTCCCTATGAAAGACCATCCAGGTAATTTTTTTTTCATTTATTACATGTTTTGCATTTTGAAGGTTTCCTTGCAACGCAAAAGCAGAAGTACAGATGGCATCAATTACCACCAGACATTTACAAGAGCACAGCCAGGCCTGCAACATGGATTTCAGTACTGTGATAAAAAATACAGATAAAGAGAATGGGATTTTGCTTTATCGTGAATGGTTTTTCCTACCATTGTCTTTGTGGTTTTGTAAGCTCATGTTTCCATGGAAACACCACCCTTTGTTCAGTTCACATTTCTTTGTCTTTCATTAGTCCTTCACAAGAAATTTAACTGTTTAAATGTGAGACATGCCAGGGAGATTTCTTAGACTGCATGTTTCTTACATAGAAGATGAATGCTAGTGGAACAAATTTTCCATTGGCAAACACCCGGAAGGTCTACAGCAGAGATGCCAACCTCTGGAGATCTAAAATCTGGAGACTCTCTTTTATTCACTCCCCCCCACCACTACCGGAATTTCAACATGCCCCCGCCACCCAACAAATTGACCCGGCCCCTAACGGGAATGACTTAGGATATTATATGAAGTCTTACATGAAGTATATACTATCAAAAGCCACAATCATCATTTTGATGCCAGAAATAATCTTTCTCAGATGGCTTCCTTACCCATTTAATAAATGTCCAGCCCTGAATTCCTCTTGCTGTGTAAATAAAAAGAATTCTTAATTTCTGTTTCAGGTTCCAATAACAACACTGGTCTGGTTGCATAGAAAATGGCAAACACCTCTTGACTCTTTCTGCCAGTTACTGATGGAAGCAAGTTTGCCAGAACTTGATTCTTCACCACTACCTGGAACTTGTGAAATGATAATTAATTATTTATAGTTGTGTGGGAAACACAGTTTCTCATGATAACAACTAATTTAAGGCCATTTTAAGTCATCACATTATTACCCAGCTTAAACAAAATTCCAAGCTAATAGAGGCAAGAGGTTTAGGTTACTCTCCAGGATGTACTAGATGAGGTTCCTGTTGGCTAAATGTCAGACCAGTCATTTTGGAGTGACCCATCACTGGATACCTTTCTTCTCAGGAGCTGGTCGTTTATAACCTTTGAGGTGGGGGTGGAGGGGGGGGCATTTTGAGAAAGCTTTAGTGAGAAGATTTTCAAAATAACCCCCCAATTCATCCTAGCTTTTTAGAAATGATCCCCCAGAAATTTTACATAATTGTGATAGTGACCCCCCACCCAATTGCTATGGAATCCACAAAAATATTCCAGCTACAAATCACGCCGAAGTTCACCACATACTTTATCTACAGTCATGTTTATGAGTTCGGTTTTTACTATTTACGGCTGTTACATTCAGTTTCAATTCATGCTCCTCACTTTTTTGGGCTACTTTCAGGAAATTTATGAAAATCACCCCTCGGGTAACACTCCCATATATGAAAATGTCCCCCCAAGATCACTCAAGATTTTGAAATGACTCACCAGCAAAATGGCAGGCGCTCTCTCACTGGTAATAAAACGACCAGCCCCTCAACAAAAGGAGGATGCCATTTGGACTATTATAACTGACCTGGCTGGCCAGCCCTGAACAAATCCAGAGGATGAGGCCATTTGACCCTGTGGCTCTCAATATCATTCATGATAAGATTATCCCTTTAAGCCTTAATGTCCACATGCAAATTCTCTATACGGTCATTTTTTAAGGGTTATGGGTAAACTCTGCCCTTTGCTGCTTTTCTAACCATGGATATTTGAATTGCTGCTCAAAAAAAGGGAAAATAGGAAATAAATTTCAGTATAATTTACTAAGGTCCATTAGTCAAGGAAAGTTAGGGTGCTTTCCGTTGGTCAGAACTGGCCGGCCGGCCGGTCCTTTGCTGGACTAGTCATTTTGACAATAAAATCGGCTTTTTCCAAGGGTTTTTGCTGAAAAACCATCTCCTTCCTGCACACTACTTAGGATTTGACTGATCTGGCTGGATAGTTTTGATTAATAGTGAAGTTCTCATTTTGACGGGAAGGGTCTGCTCAGTTTTGACAAATGAAAAGTGCCCTTAGACTTCTTGCAGATCTGTGCAGTAATTTCTCCTCTGAAAAAACTGTTAGACCCAAAGATATAAAACTCCTTTGTAAAGGTTTTATTTTGGCTGAAAACTTTCAATACTTGGTCAAGAATGCTCTGATATCGCTACTTTGAGGAGCATTTGTTTTACTTCTGTGAAAAAAAATTTTATTTGTAAATATCTATTAACACTTACATAACAACCTTGAAAATGACAAATGCACAATATTGAATTAATGTGCCTCAAAGTGGTTCCTGTGCCGGGAACAGGTTTTGCTTTAATGGCCCCGGTTCCTTAGCCCTTTCACTGCCAGAGAGGATGATGGAGTTTTGTAAGGCGACTCTAAACTTTTGAGTCTGCGAACCAAATCCTATGATGTGAACATTCAAATGAAAGCTCTCTGCCTGTACTTACTCATGGTGCTATTTGTTCGTCAAAATTTTAGAAATTGAAATTTGGTCGAAATTTGCCTTTGGCCTCATTTGGCAGTGAAAGGGTTAAAAGATACAAGGTTAAGTTTAACCCAGCGTTAAGCCAAATTTTTCGCAAGGGTTTCATGTCTAGATACTTCTGATACTTGCAACTGAAATTGAGATCCATTTATAATAAGACAAAAGGAAGGAAGGCTAATACAATCGTGGATTAATTTTTCTTATCCTTGATCATGGACCGGACCCTGAATACATCATCTGGTCTCAAACACTTGTATAATATTTGTGAGTTTTGAAGAGCTTTTTATATAACGGAAAGTTTATTCTTCTCAGTTTTATCTTATTTTTTTCCCCAAGTAGCCGTTGTGGCAGTGTTGATTTAAATAAAGTGTGAACAAATATGATTTGTGTGTTTACTTTTCTAGACTGAACCTGCATAGCTGGCGTGATTATAATCAACCATAATTCGGGAGCTTGAGCGACGAAGAAGACGAAGGCGGTGAAAACGTTGCTAAAAATGAATTTGGTTTCATTCTAACTTTTTCGCGTCTATCTAGACCTTCGAAAATAATTTATTAAATGTGGGTGATTTTTCCTGTGGTTGAATTCTTAAAGTGACTCGACCCAGTTATTTTGTGAGGGTACCATCCTACTTTGAAGCTCTCTGGTATCCCCACCTTTACTTTGATCGTAAGTCTAACATATAGCATGGATAACATATAGATCAGTCTACAATAAAGAGTAAAATTTTTGGCGATCGGGGTAAATGTCACGTGGTTATAGTCCCACGCCCCTTTGGGGTCTGAGTCGAAATTCTGCTGTTGCCGGCATTTTTTCGTGAAAATCTCTCGGCTACATATAGTGCGCATTAGGGCCTTGCGTTGAACCGAGTTTCACCAAAATCGCAAAGACCCAGTGCGAAAAATTCAGCGTTTCCAAATTTAGGTCATAATTTATGTGAAAATGATAAGCAAACTTTACACTATTATATCTAATAAACTACGAGATTTATCCCTTTATTTTGGAGATTTTTATAACAGATTGCAAGTCAGCAGAAAGCTTTAGGGCCTTGTAAATGCTCGCGATTTCGAGCAAAGCAAACATATGGAAATTATAGTTTTAGATATTTGTTGCCCTTTTTCAGCGTTTAAGAGTCCTTCTCACGAAAAAAGCATTTTCTTAAAACTTCGTAGTTTTTTTCCTTTGGTTTGCATGAGTACAAGTATAATAACGAGAGCTTCGCTTTTAGCCTGGCTAAATCTATATATCAACGTTATGGGCAACGTGATGAACGGGACGGGGACTTACGTAAGGGTAGACTCTATTCCAGCCGTATATCGATTCCGGCTGAGCGGAACCTATCAAGACGCTTTCACTTAAAATGGATATAACCGACCATCTGAATAAATAAGTAGGTAGACGTTAAATCGGGAAAGACAGATTGCAGCAAATTCGGCCCTGATTGAAGTCATGTAGTACAACTTTGCTGCAATTCACTCAGTAAAATACCATGCTTTGGTAGCCGACGTCAAACGTGGAATCTTTTGTGGTGCCTTACCTTACCTCACTTGAACCCTAGCTAGCCCCATCGAGTAACTTAATCACCAATTCTCTGCTTCGTTCCCCTTTTTCACAATCTCATTCCTCGTTCCCTGTTTTAGTAACATTCAACACTGGGATCTACTTAGCCTGTTCCAGGCTCTCAGATAGTGGGGAGGACGAGAAAGTGAAAGGTACGCGAAAAGGGGGGCTGGGAGGGAAAAAGGAAAAGGGCCCTTCCTTTCCTAAGTTTCCTTCCCGTTTATTTTCATGTTCGCGCTTTCTCAATCCCCGCGGACCCGACAATCTCGGCAGTTGCATTGTATTTGTTATGTTACAAAATAACATTCAACACAGTATCAAACTTTATATAACTGAGCTCTCTTTGAATGTTTACTGATAAATTTTGGGAAACTGCCCACCTACCTATCCCCTAACCTACCATTTATCCTAACTTCTCACTTGGGGCAAAATAATGGCTTAGGGGAGGGGTAGGTGGTCAGTTTCTCAGAAACCTAACTTGATCCATTTTACCTATAACGCTGTATATCTATAGAATGCAGCACTGTGATAGTAGGCTTGATTTCCGCCACGCGCTGTCTCGAATTCGGTGTGTTGTTCCTTCCGTAGTAGCCTTGCAGCTCTTAAGAAGCTCTAATTGAATTGGGCCCCTCTGGCCAGTAATCGGCTCCTGCTATGGATCGCAGCTCTTTTGTTTTCGGGCTAGGTTCCGTTGTTAACTTTGTTCATTGTTTTCCCAACCAATCCCGCGAGGTCTTCCGAGAGCTGTAGGGTCACCCTCCTCCCCCGCGGAGGAGCGTGGGCTCATTTCTCGATCAGCGGCTGGTAATCGAGCCTATTGTGTGGCACGAAATTTTTGCGGGTTCTAATTTTTGCGATTTTCCCAGCGATCCGCAAAAATAAATTCCCGCAAACATTTTTCCCGCAAAAATTTACTCCAGAGTAAATATTCTCGAACTAAGAAATCATGTCTGTTCAATTACAACTTGCCTCTTTCATTCACAAACATTTCTGAAAATCGCAAAAAGTAATTCCCGCAAAACACAAACAATCGCCAATCCGCAAAAATTAACTACGGCAAAAAATTCGTGCCACACGTTATGTGGAGTGACAGGAAACTGAACTAAACTGCACAGCAAACTATCAAATTGGAACAAAGCAGCGTTAGAGCGGCAAACTTGCGAATACGCGTGATTAAGCATAAGTTAAAAAGAAATGTTATATTAATAAGAATCTCAAATCTAACAAGCACAGGAACAAGAACCGTACGCACGAAATTATTCTCGATGTGTCCAATAGGCCACTTTCGAGTTCCAGAAACTATCAATTTCAAACCTAAGTGGAAAACACTTCTAATGAAAATGAGTTCTAGTTGCATGATAATAATAATAATAATAATTTGACATCAAAGGGTTCACACTTAGCCTTGTTTTGAAACAGAGACTTTAAGTAACTCGGAATGACTTATTAGCACTAGATAATGAGAGCACCAAATAATCCGCACTGAATTTTTAACAACGTATATGTACACTGTCAGAATAAGTTTTGGAATCCTAGATACAAAGAATACGCAAAGAACGGCTGCGAAAGAGACTAGGCCACTGAGCTCTTTGAAATTTACACTGCTCATAAGACTCGCGCCATTTATTCCTGTTAGTAATCAACATTTAGCGTCTAGAAAACGAGTGTATGGAGTTGAACTCTTCTCTTTGGGCCCTTCGGCCCTTAGCTCCGCGTTTTTCGTTGCAAGAAGTACGTGAAATGTAAGGCTATAAGGACACTATACCGGTTAACTTTTGCACCTGCACGAAAACCATACCGGATAGAGCTTCTGTTCACATATAACGATGATTTCGGTGCGATTTCTGTAGCCTACGTCAAATGTTAGCCTGCTAGCAAACTCTCCATTTATGGTGAGCGGAGAGAGCCGCGAAAGAACGCGCGAGTGGGCGGCGAAGCCGCGAGGGGCGCACTCGCGTCTCCTTTCGCGTGGCTCTCACGTGACTTCTCGAGACTCTCGAGAGCTTGCTCGCAGGCTAATCAAATCTGCCCATACAAAACAGCCCCTCAAAGTGTATCCCGCATGAGGCTGCTTGGATGGGTGAACTTACAGCGCGGTACTTTTCAAACACGAAGGTACACATTTTTCAATAATTTGAATTAACTGCTTTCTCTAAGCATAATTTTTGATCGGTAAACCGAATACGATTCCGTAACCTACATCCACAATGTGAACGCACGACTCGTTCAACTCAAACACAAAAATTGTTCGTTGTTGACAAATTTGGGAGCTTAAGCAACGGCAACGGCGATGAAAACGTCACTTAAATAATCTGAAATGTCATACATCTCCACTCCCTAACCCTCTGCCCCCACGGGACGTGGTGACGTATGAAATTTCAGACTACAGTGGAACCTCGATATAACGAACCTCTATATAACGAAGTCCTCGGTATAACGCCCAATTTTCTTTCCCCCAGTAATAGTAAAATATATGAAAAATAACCTCGATATAACAAAACCTCGTTATAGCGAAAACATTTCGCCAGTCCCTTGGCCCTTCGTCATATCGAGCTTCCACTGTATCACTTAAAAAAGTGAAAACTTTATCGCGCTTTATGCCATCTTGTTCAATTTGTGAAATGTTGACAATTTCTTCTGATGGTGAATTCTAAAAAACTGTATCGAAGGCAGGAGAAGAAAAAGAAGGTTTTTGTCTTTTTGTTTTTGTCACGTCCCCCACAAAACGAACGTCGTAATCGTGCAGTGACGGCAGAGGAAGGTACAAAAAAGCGTCGTGATGCACGTGTAGAGTTGTTGTTTTGCCAATAAAAACGTACCAGTTTTTGCCGTTCTCCTTGATGTCGCCGTCGTCGTTGCTTAAGCTCCGTGATTCCTCGACAAAAACATGAAAAAGACAGAGTACAATCTCACACTTCGGACTCAGAGACCATGGACAAACGTGGGGTCCAGCCCATTTCTCGCCGCCTCATAGAGTGCGCCCGCAATTTAATATTTTGCGGTTCGACGTCTTTTTCTTTTTCGGCTTCTTTTTCTTTGTCAACGCAATCGCTTCCATCGCCAGCATCGCTTCCTTTTAGGCAGGCGTTGGGCACTGAATGAAGTTGCATTCCCTTTGACCCGGCCGGATAATGCAAAGAAGGAAGAGAAGAGGGCCTACTGGATGAAAAAAACTGCTCCGGTGCCAGTTGGTCGCTAAGAGGCGCGGCAGGTAGTGTCTGACCGCGGCTACGGGGTAATGACTTACTGGCAAGACCACATACTTCTCTAACACCAACTTCATCACTAGAAAATCGTCGTATGGAAGAGTTTGGAATGGTTCCGTTAGGAATATTAATGCTAATACCTTGTCCATCGGGCCTGTTTCTCGCTTCGCTTGAAGGCTTGCGTGGTTTTTTGGTGCCAGACTGGCCACTTTCGCAGATGTTACGGTTACGATCGAGTGAGTTGCGTGACAAAGCAGCTTCAGTGATTGTGGTAGGTTGATATGGCGGGTTTCTGGTAGACTCTGTGTTGTCGTGGTTACGCGGCAAACTTCTGCTAATACGCTCACGTTCACACAGTTCGTCATTTAAAATATTGCGTGGTCTTTTACTAGTAGGCTGTTCACTTTCGCAAAAGTCACGCCTACCTTCACTCGAATTGCGTGACATAGGAGATTCCATGCTTGAGATGGGTTGATAAGGCGGGCGGGTGGAGACCTTTGAGTTGTCATGACTACGCGGTAGACTGATGCTGATACGTTCACGTTCAAAAATTTCATCGCTGGAATATCGTCGAGTTCGTGAGTTTGCTTGTATGGGGCCACTGAGAATTTTATCATGCAAGCCACGGTGATCATATTTCGGTTTGTGTAACCTTTCGCTGCAGGAACGTCTGCCGCGGAAGCTGTCAGGCGATCCTTCAGTCAAAGCGCAACAAGCTGCACCAGGGGCTTGTTGATACGGTACTTGGACGCCTGTTGCTAGGTAACCACGCTGAACAGGCAGAGTTCTACTCCCTCGACCAAATATTTCGTCGCTTGAGTACCGTCGCGCAGGCAGATTTTTTGGAAGAGAACCGACCTGAAAATTATAACGCATTTCAAAGCGATTAGAATTCGTTCGTTCATTTTTTTGGTTGTTAGTACTCTCGCAAAGTCGACCGCCTGGATTGCGTGAACGTCGCGCAGGCAGATTTTTTGGAAGAGAACCGACCTGAAAATTATAACGCATTTCAAAGCGATTAGAATTCGTTCGTTCATTTTTTTGGTTGTTAGTACTCTCGCAAAGTCGACCGCCTGGATTGCGTGACTTAGCAGTTCTAATTTTGACAGCTTCGTCGTCGCTGCCCTGAAATGTGGTGAAGCTTGGTTTTCTACAAACCGTAATTTCCCTTGAAGCTACAGAGATCCCATCAACAAAGCTTTTCCCCTTTTTAGGGCGTGCTGTCACGCTGTTTTGCTTAATCTCCTCCTCGGTATCGTTTCCACTATCCTCGCTTGCGCTTAATGAGTCACCAGTGTACATTGTTGTCACGACGGGTTGGAAACAGGGAGAGCGTGACATGTCCGAGTTTCGTGTGCTCGGTGTTTCACTGGGAGGTCGTCGCATTGAACCGTTCAAACTACGGTAAGACAAAGAGTTACAGCGTCCAGCAACACTTGCGCGTTCGAGGGAGCACTGATCAAGCATCCGCGCACACTTTTGTTTCTCGCGACTGATGACAACGAAGTAGCATGAAAAACTGACAACGGCAGCGAATAATGTTGGTCCAGCAAAAACTGCTAAGTAAAACCAAATCCGCGGAACGCACTGCCATGTGGCAGTAAGCTCATTACCGCGATAAGATGACTGGATCGGTTCTTTGATGACCTCGATCACACCAACTTCCGAGGAACCAAAAAGTAGTCTTGCAGAGCACGTATCTTTAGCCCCCGCGCTGCAACTATAAACAGAAGGCGTCAAATCGTAGAGCTTGCGATTTACGCTCAAGTCGAGTTTCATTCTTGCGAATTCCTTTGCACCTTTTGGGAATTGAAAAAGAATATAGTAGTTTCCGGTCTCCAGAACGTTTAAACTGTACGATATTCTTGTAGGCTGCGTCGTGGGTCTCGCTCCTTGAGGACGCTCCGCAGCGGAAATCGTTTTTCGCAGATCCCCGTTTCGATCGATCCACTCATTCAAACGCGTTTTGTCCTTGAAAATGAATAGCGACAATGCATCGTCCGATTCAGCGTTTATGACAATCGATGAACCTCGCAACAAATAAAACCCTTTGTACCAGTAAAGGAATTTTGAGACGAATACTTCGTTTGATGTATTGGTGCGGCGGAATTGGTGACCAAGTGTCACAGAAGGCAAAATCGACAACGTCCTTACAGAGGCGTCTTTGCCAAGAGAAATTTCTTCACAGAAAGCTGTTGATACAGAAATTATCCTCATATCGCCCTCGGTAAGGTCGTACTTCTGTGAAAGGAATGTTGAGAAGTTCAAAATTTGGATTATTAATGCCACAGCCAGAGAGATAACAATGAGAATCGATAGTCCAGAAAAGATCCAAACACGTAGTTTAAATCTCTGATATCCCATGTAAGCTTTTCCATCGACATTATCCGGTACATAAACAACCTCTGTTGTCGTGGTCCTCATCTGTGGTGTGTACTTCATATCTAACTAAAACGACTGAGAGAGATCAGAAGTCTTGCAAGAATTCGCTGCCAAAAACATCCCGCGTGTCACCACGCTGCAGTGACAGGAGAGTTACGACTCCCCGGTTGAAAGGAATGTTCTTTATTCAAAACGTCATGTAATGTGTCAACAAGATTTGACGTACAAAGGCTATTTTCGTATCGTATGTCATTTCACTTTTTTTTATGACGGAAAACCGTGGAAACATGACTGTAAAACAAGAAAACAATATTTTGTTCGTTTATTTTTCCACCCGACAAATCGCTTCAACTGTGGACGGTCATGTAAATAAAACGAAGAACACTAATTTGACATTTACACTTTTGAAAACAATAAGGTCTGATCGATGTTTGCATGTGCTTACAAACAGGATGTTTGATAAGCGTCTTTAACGATTTAAAAAAAAATCGCCGGAAACTACGCCTCCCCACACCTTTATTTCTGATTGAAAAGAAAACAGAATGAAAACCCCACTACTTCCGGTTATGTACCACACTAGCACACAAATCTTTGGTTCTTTGTGAGCACTAGTTCCCTTATAATAACAACCTCTATGATTTTCCGTCAGCTAACCTTTAGAGGTCGATAGTAAAAACAATTCGCATATAAATGTCGCGTTTTTTAAGCCAGTAAAGAAATTCCCCTAGCAACCATGATTTCGAGAATATTAACTTGCAAAATGTGCGGCTGTCTGGCAGCAAAATAAAAATAATTAATTACAGTAACAAAAAAAAAAGGCTAGAGTACTTAGAGAGAATAAGGTTTTTCCTTCACATCGTATCTCATATTCATGAATAGCCCTCCATCTCCTGTAAGGAAAAAATAGGGGTAGGAGACGCGCGAATAGCCTGAATTTCAGCCTTCTCCGCGAGTCGCGAACTCAAGGAGACGGCTAGGGATGAAGACGACGCTTCTTCACCGAGACGCCGAGAAAAGGAGGCCAACTGTATTCAAACGTTAAAAAACATGTCAGTTATATTAAGAAGCCTAAAAGCTCTTGTTGCCGTACTCTCTTTGAAACAATTCGTAGCCTGGGGCGCGAGAGGACTGGCACGCGAAGGGGAGAGAAGACATCGTCTGCTTTTCTGCTCTTAGACACCGAACCCCCATCACACCATGATCCTCAAAATTTCCCTCGTCGTCATCAACGTTTGGCGACTTGTATAGCTTTAGAGAAAGAGGTGCCAAGCTCGCGAGTGAGTCATCTCTCGGGCAGGCCTTCTCTCGATTTGCACCTGCCATGAGGTGAATGAGAGGGGGGGGGGGGGGGGGGGGGGCAAACCCTTATCACCCGTTTCCTTAAAAGGGGGAGGACAATGTATGAACTCCCTGCTTTTTTTTTTTCCGGCCCCTTCCCAGTTTACCCCGGTTTTAAAATCCTTTCCCCCGGCAAACAAAAAAATTTTTTTTCCCGAATGAAAAAAAAAAAAAAAAAAAAAATCTTTTCGGGGGGTTGAAGAAAAAACGGAA